TATATATATATATATATTCATAAATAGTATGTTTTAGCCAAAATATAGGACAGCAAATTCTGAGGAGAGATTTCCTTTCTTACAGCTAATACAGACCCTCAAGTATTATCAGTAAAACAGGCAGGTTTGGACAGACAGTTCCTACCAAGCTGAATGAGCTGTTCCATGAGCCAGGCTTCCCCACTGCCTCTCTGCTTGTGCTACCAAAGTCATGCCTCTTCAGAAGAGCACTGCTGGGAAGCTCAATATTACAGTGGCTTTTGTGCTATCAATACTTGTCCCCCCTCCCCAAACAACAGTTCTTTCCCTCACTTCATAATTTATTTATTTTTTACTGATCATCTTCTTCCAGCCCCATTAATCAAATCTTTCTCTCTTTCTTTCTCCCTATTCCTGCTTAAGGAATCCAGTAGACTCCAGGGATCAGACAGCTGCTGCATTCAGTTTTTGCTAACTATAGCAGAGCAGAGGGTCTGTCAAGGTGTTAGATATAGTTTTTGGATTCTCTCTCCCGGTTCAGGAATAGGTTGAAGCAACAATGGAGGTTTAAGTGCTTGTTTATACCAACTCTGCACATCCACAGATTCTCCCTGTGTCAGGGTTGTCCCCTGAGGAAAGTTATGAGCAAGATTCTTCTCCCTCTATGGTACCTTAACAGCACAAAGGAAGTGGAACAGACACTTTCTGAACCTTAGTTCTCACTGGGTGTGTCTATATGTGCAAATAATCTTGAGCAGTTTACTCTTTACAGTAAACTACTCAAGAGTAAAATCTTCCAGACATGTGTCTACACATGCAGAAATGCAGGAGCAGATTTGCTGCTCCTAGCAGCAGACTTCTTCTGTTCCCTGTAGCTCTGCAATGGTCCCTGCAGCAGCCAGGAGGAGCTATAGGCTCCTGCTGGGTGCTAACCCAGGGGCAAGGAGGCTCCTGGTTGCGGCTGGGACATTGCTCCCTGCCCCCAGGAGCTGCCTGCTGCCAGGGTGGGCTCCATCAGGTGAGGATAATGGCCCCCTGCCCTGGCAGCGGGGAGCTCCCAGCCCCCACTCTGCAATGTGTAGCACAGGGACATCCTTCTCTCCCAGCCCGACCCCTGGACTAGGAGATCTTTCTTTCCCAGTGCCAGCTTCAGGGATTGGGATCTCCCAGTGATCATGGAGCAGGGGATGGGAGCTCCTTGCTGCCAGAGCAGAGGGACATTGCCCCCGCTTGGGCTCCAGTGGTGGAGCCTGCCCCGGCAGCAGGCAGTGCCCGGGGGCATAGAGCAATCTCTCGTCCTCTGCTGCCCAGCTAACCAGGAGCATATTTGCTCCCGGTCAAGTGTCTACACATGCACTGCTGCACAGTAAGTAATCTTGAGTAAATTTGCTATTTGCATTTGCAGGTAGCAAATTTACTCATGATTGGAGCCAATTACTGCACAGTAAGCATCTACACATGTAGACATGGATGGTTACTACACAGTAATTAGCTCTACTGTGCAGTAAAGTGTCTCATGTAGATGCACTCACTGGGCATTTCTACATGTGCAATTAATGCAACATAATAAACTCTAGAGTTTACTGCTGCTTGAACGTGCACCTGGGAGTGGAGCACATTGAGCTGGGTCAGAGCAGCCCAGGCTGCCAAGTCAGGGGAGTCATCCTGCCAGCGCAGGGAATGCTCCCCCTGGCTCAAAGTGCTGCAGAGAGGCTGCCTGGGCCATGAGGATGATTTATTGTGGGGCTGGCTGTCAGCACCCTTGTGCCCTAGCCAGCCGGGGCAGCATCTACATGTGCACTGCCGCAGAGTTGTTTACTCCACAGCAGGATTGTATTTGCAAGTACTATCCTGCTGTGAAGTAAATTAGTTTACTTCAGCCTAATAGGGGTTCACGTGTAGATGCTGGAGATGTGTAATGTGCAGCTTAATAGTCTACTGTGCAGCAAGCATCTTGTACAGATGTGCCCACTCTCTGCTGAATTGTATCCAGTCACTTTGGCAGGCTCAGATCCCCAAAGTGTAAGCATCTTCCTTTCATTTCTATTTACTGCTAGAAAGTAGCAGGGGTGGGAACTTCTATAATCAGATTTTGGGAGTGCTCATCGCACCTTATACTTATTTTGAAGGAGATTCCTTGGCAGAGCATAGGAGAGAGGAGCACCCCCCAGCAGAGTCCTCATTACCCTATTTTCTTTCAGGAAAGCCATATTGGAGAGCCTGAGGAAGAATTGGGGATGATTCAAAGAAGGCAATGATGATGAATGGGGTTCTGGAAAGCAAATCACGTGGGGTGAGGTTGAAAGAGCAGGGAATGTTTAGTTTGGAGAAAAGAGATTTTAAGGAGTGACATGATAACATTTTCTAATCATTGTAAGATTGACTTAAAATGGATAGTGAAGAAATCTTTCTTTAGCCACTGAAGGTAGGTAGGAAGATTTGGGTTTTTAGACATCTGGAAAGAAAAATGAAATATCCAAGCATCTAGATATTGGAACAGGCTGCCTAAGGAAACTACAAAATCCTTCCTTGCTTGCAGAAGTCATCACTAGAGGTTTTTAAGAGGATTCTGGATAGACCACCCCGACACATGCCTTGATACAATAAAACCTGCCTGCTGGGGTTTGAACCAGTTTACTTTGAGATCTCTCTAGCTTTATAGTTCTATGATTTTGCAGAAACTTTCCTTTCTACAGCACCTTTGACCATTCACCTCCCTATCTGATTTCACACTGTCTTCCATCTCCTCTGCTCACATATGTAGAGCAAAATGCAGTGCCTGGCTTGTGCTGTTCAGACTGCAAGAGCTGGGAAACTGGAGAGCAGCTCACATAGGGAGGCAGTTGTTAGCTGTTTGGCTACTGGCCAACCTAGCTGGCTGTTTCATTTTTTACTCCATGGTAAAAGTCTACTAAAGTGGAAGGGATAAAACTTACACCAACACAAAAGATGCATTTATCTTTATGATTTTGGCAACAGATGTCATTGTTCTGAACGAGAGAAACACCTCTCTGCTGCAATTACAAAGCAAATGCACTACTTAAAATCTGAAGAGAGAGGGAATATCTACACCGTGTCCCTGGCACTCACTGGAAGGGCTGTTCTTAGGAATGCCCCGCCTACCCACTCCTGTCTCCATGAGTCCAAACCTGGAAATGCAGCAACAAAGCTGCTCTACAAGGCTACTTTCAAGCACTCCAGAGATGTTAAAAATGGCCCCAGTGGTGTCTTTGGAACAGCTTCACAGCTACATTCCCACGACTGCCTCCTGAGAGAGGGAGCAGATGGGTAGGGGGGGTGTGCTCGGGGGTCCCCTCCCTGAAGGCTCTTGGGACATAAAATAGATGTACCTACACTAACTAAAGTGAAATTCCCTTCAGTGATTTTCCCATCTGACAGAATTGCCAAAAAAAACAAATAGTGTATAAGGACTATGCAGTATATTGGATTTTAAAGGATCTTTTGGTTTTAGTGGTCTTTAACAGGATGGTTCAGCAGTCCGAGCCTTAGTTTAGGACTCAAAGAATATTGGTTCAATTCCTTCTCCCTCTCCTCACAGACTTCCTATGTTAACTCATGTTCACAGCCCTTATTTAAGTGCCTAACACCAAAATAGCATCTGAATCTAGGTTCTCCACCTGTAAATGGGAATAATACCCTTACCCTATCTTGTATGGGTCTTATGAGACTTAACTACAGCACAGAGCTGCCCAGATCCTATAGTAGTGGCTATCATAAAAGGTTTACATAAAGCAGCAGGATTCATGAACATTGCCAAAGAATGCCCAGTGCTAGTCATTCAAATGCAAGGAAATATTTGTTGTAATGATATTTACTGCTAGTGCCTCTTAATTAATCTGAAGGTCACCGTATTCACCTGCACGTCACCGCCAACTCCTCCAACCATTGGATCTTCCTCTAAAACTTTCACCATTTCCACCGAGGATGCTGGATCCAGCATTGTGTCTGAATCACAAACCTGTAAGTAATGCAACACAGGGAACAAATGAGATGGGGAACACATTGGAAAATATTTAAGAAAAGAATGATTTTAGCAACTCGATGTACATAGAATGGCGAATGCAATTCAATGCCTGTTTGGATTTTAAGCCTGTTTTGTTACTTCGTTTAAAAGGCCACTTGTAGCAGGCAACTGAGCGTAGCACTGAATGAAACAGAACTTTCATCAGGGGTCTCTTCACAAAGGACCTTCTATTTTCTATATCAGCTGTATTTATTTTATTGGCACAGCAGTTTTGCTTATTTGGACAAGAGTTGTGTTCACTTAGATGAGCACTAAGAATCTTAGACAGAAGACCACAACTTTTGTGGGTGTCCTGCTGACATCGGTAAACTAACTGGATGTGATGTGGTGATGTCTGCCACATTCATGAGGAAGAATCGGTGAGGAGTTAACCTATGGATGCTTGTAAAAAAAGCAGAAGAAACTTATTTTTGCTTACAGAAGGGTTTAGCAATTCATAAAAGACACATATTTTGATACCAGAACAAATCAATTTTAAACTTTAGTGACATGGTACGTTAGTAGTAGTGCAGAGATTTGTTATTTGATATATACCTTTCATTTTCGCGAATGTTAGTATAAAGAATGGAAGTGAGGCCAGAGGCAGTGGGTCATGCAGCATAGCACACTGAGATAGTGGTGCAGAAAGAGATGGCACACCCAGGCATTCAAACCATGTGAAATTTTCCTCCAATGCTGTACAAAACCAATTAACTAAACACTGTGTGCGTTAGGACAGGTTATATCCTTTGAGAGTAGGAGGAGCATGCAGACAGGCTGGTTGATTTGAAGTGCAGTTGTATTCTGAGACTGAGGCCCTGGACTTCAGCCTGTCTAAAATAATCTGGCATCTCTCTCATTTGCTTGGTGTTAAATTCTCCCATCCTACTGTCCTGTTAATCTGTAGCTCAGTTTATCTTCAGATTTGGGACATTATCTGCAGCCTTTAGATAAGTGGAATTGCATTGTAGTGGAAACCCTCCTTCGACTAGGTGGGGCCTCAGCAGTGTAACATCTAAACAACTAGGGATGAGCAGAGTATCCATTAAATTCCAGTGATACTTCTGTATAGGCATCCTAGTCTTTGGGTCCATGAACACAACTGTTATCCATTTAACCACTCTGACTACTTATTTGAAGCATCCACAATCAGTTGTAGGATAAAGATATGAGGGTATGAGTGAGTACAGAGTAGAGCTGTTAGACTGGGAGCTGAAAAGAAGGCTTTTGGACAGGATTCAAGCAAGGAAGCTACCCTCACTAAATTAGCTGCATAGTTTGGGACAAGGCTTAAATGCTGTCAAGGCAAGTCCTTTGCAGGTGAATAGTGTTCATTACATAGAGGGGATAGAAGGGAGGGGAGGAGAGAAAGAGTGTTAAAGGGAGCTTCCCAATCAAAATAAATATAGACTGGAAGGTGCTAAGCACCCCTGGATCCCATTTATTTCAAGCATTTAACACCTTATAGGACCCAAGGTTAGTACTGGAATTCCCTTCCTTGTCTACCAGCCTGGATCAGTGCCTCCCTTGTATCTCCTGACCATATTCATGTAATAAATAGGAGCAAGAAATGGACTGGTCCAATATATCCTGGTAATCAACAGGTTGTATTTTCATGTAAGGATATGAGTGACATCAAAATACTTCCACAGCATCACAGAATACTACAAAAATGACACCCGGATTCTTTAAATACAAATGCAACTGCATGAGGGAAGTTACAGCAGATGTGTCTATATGCATGACTAACTTATTGATTCTGTTTGGCAATACAGAAGGGACTGTATTTAGGGGCTGTAAGGCCACTATCTCAAAAATTACTAGTGATTGTGTATGGCTCATTTTTGGGGTGCCTGCTGTGATCTTAAAGCAGGGAGGGTCTGATCTTCAGAGGATTAATCTCAACACTTTCTGAAAATCTGTTTCATTCTAAAGTATCACCCGTTGGGCACTTGTAAAAAAAAGTCACTTAGAATCACTAGCCATTTTGGAACCACTTTGGCCCGCAATTGCAAAATAGGCCTTGCTTTGACTGTATTGTGGGTACACCCATATTGACCCTGATCCACTGAGACACAACTACATTTACAGTGTATATGTGACCTTAATTCAGAGGTCACATTTTTAAGGGTGAGCCACCAAGGCAATTCCCTGGGATCCCAGGTCAAGGAGGCCCCATCAGGCAAAGTTAATACAGTGTGTGTGTGTAGAGAAGGGAGGGGTCCATACCATAACCTTTGTCCAGAGACCTCCTCTGTCTAATGCAAGGCCTGCCTTAGCTGCCTGCATCAGTCTTTAATAGACTTTGGTGTCTGATTTACAGTAGCCTTAGTTTCTGGGACAAAGGACACATAGAAGTTACACATAAACCAGTTGAAGTGATCAGAAACTGGTTTAACCCTGTAACAGAACAGAAGCTCCGTGCACATAAACCAGTTTCAAAAAGGCTAAAACTGGTTTAAGATAAACCTGGTTGAATGTAGTATCAGACTTAACTGATTTGAGTCAAACCAGTTTATGAAACTTCTGTCCCAGACCCCCTTCCTCATTCAAGTTAAAACAGAGTCCCCCAGCACCCCTGCATGCTTTCCAGCCCTGGGCTGGGCTGGGCTGTCTGCTCCAGCAGAGAGAGTTTGGGGGAAGGGGACTGGCAGGGACTGTCCCCCCTCTTCCCTGGCAAACCTTGGCTGTGGTCTGAGCTGCCCTGCCCTGCTAAACTTACTGAAAGTTACTGCCGGCTGCAACTGTGGACTACAAATCCCAGAGGCACCAGGAAGCAGGAAGAGGAAGTGATGAGCAACCCTTCAGAGCCCTGCTGTTGTGATCCTAGACTGCAAATATCAGAGACCTTGGGGTCAGGAAGAAGAGGAAGTGTCAGAGAGCTATGGTCTAGTGCCCCCTAGCTACTGGCCTGAATCACTGCAAGTATGTGGCTGCATTTCCTGAATCAAAGGTAAATCTGTGTCCAGTTGTTTCTCAGTTTAATCTTTCCAGCTTAGACTAACCTGCAAAGATTGACTCAATTCAGCCTTGGGCTCCTGACTGTCTGTACTTAGCCTTGGGGGCCAAAGGAAATGCTTTAAAGACACCATGAAGGCAAACTTTAAGAATCATGGCATTGACACCACAAATTGGGAAAAACTAGCCAGGGACAGGACTACATGGCAGCACCTTGTGAGAGAATGTACATCTTACTTTGAGGAAAACCATATCACTCTGAGATGAGAAAAATGACTGAAATGGAAGGAAAGGAAACAAGTTGAGAAATCTGCGGTCTGACCCTTCCTTTAACGATTGCCAGTTGTGTTTGCCTGACAGTCTGCGGCTCTAGGACAGGCCACCTTAGCCATCAATGGACTCATCTACAACTCCAACTTGACCTGTGGGAGTCATCATCCTCAACTGTGAGGGATCACTGCCACCACTGAGTTTCTGGGGCATTCATCAGGCCTTTTGTGCAGAAACTATGAGATGCTCAGGTACCCCTCTTAGTCACAATTAGGTGCACACTAGACCTAACAAAGCTGTCAAAGCTGGAAGTATGTCTATGGAATGAAAGCACTGCTGTTTTTTGGCTACCATTCCCTTAGCAGAAACACTTTTAAAACAGCTCTCCTGATCAGATACAAAGGATTGAGGAAAATAGAGGAGATAGGATGGGTCTGACTTCTTGTTGCCTTGATGCTTCTGTAGCTATGGACATGTAAAATGAGTGCAAGTTGCTCTCAGATGACAGTAACAGTAATTTTACACTCACCTTGCACACTCATTATCTGATAAAAGGTGCAGGACAGTGGAGAATTGAATCCATAGTTTTTTTGGAAGACACCAATCTGAGTTTTCTAACAGGACAGGCAAGAGAGATTTAAAAAAAAAAAAAACTCTGCCCTATTAATGAAATAAGAACCGATCATATCCTGATAAAAGACTTATTTCCTGCACTCTCCAGTAGTGGTGCTTGATTTTCCTGCCTTTGAAGACCCTTCTGTATTTATTCAGCCACCATGGTGACCTTTTTGCATAACCTTAGATAGGGGATGTTCAAATCTTGCATGCTTCTATCAGCCTATGATTCTGCAGTAGTAAAAGGTCACAGCTACACGAGACACTTTACTGAGTAGAAAACTAATTTGCTGTGCAGTAAAGCTTCACTGTCTACACGTGCATGGCAACTACGATATAGTAGACTAATTTACTGCGCTGCCGAATAGTCTTGTCAGATACAAGTGGTATCCAGCAGCACAGTAAGTTACTGAGCTTAAATGCACATGTAGAAGGTGATATCAGGATTAGCTTACTCCAGCTCAAATTGAGCAGAAGTATATTCATTCACCTTAATTGCATATGTAAATGTGCCAAGAAAGACTGAGTGATTAGAACATGGAACCTCTGACAGCCCAGGAGAGAAGCTCTGGCAGGAAGCAGACTGACCGTCAAAAGAGGATCCTTAAAGATAAAGCTCGAGGCACCTGACTTTGAGGTCCACAAGGATAAAGAGGGAGGACGTCTAAATCCTGATAATGCTCTCAGCTTCTCAGAAACTGCAAATTGAGTTTAAAATCACTAGTGATCTTCAGTGTCCATACAAATGGCCTGATCCTACTAACATTACTTATGTAAGTAGCATTTTCTGACTGAAGTCAGTAGGCCTATTTCCAGGAGAAAGGAGTACTTCCATATGTAGGGGCTGAAAATCAGGGCCAAAACAGAGAAAAGACTTCTACAGGATCCAGGACAGCTGGAAAAAAAATCTGCCACTTTGAAAATAGGGAGAGTGGGCCCAGCTTAATTCATTCTTAAGTGAACAGAGTCATAAAGGCTCTAAGGGCCAAATTGTGGTGAGTGAGGTAATGCAGCTGTAGCCAATCAAGTGAATGCTCCTCCTAGCTGGATAATTTCTCTTTTAAGAACTTTACTCTGAACCCTCTACTGACTGGTCCTAAAAAGCTTAGAAGATGTAAAAATGTCTGTTTTTTCCCCCTACTAAGTCTGTCTGTCCTTTGAGATACTCCTCTAGAACCACCTTATAGATTATTACATGTTTGCACACAGGGCCTCTGAGCTTATCAGAGAATGAAAATTACCTCTGATCTTGACTTACACTGGTAAAGCAGGCATCTGCTAAAGTAGTGCTTTTTAGAAATGGAGCTGTTTTGATAAGCGAATAGGGCTGTAAGCTTCAGAAAATCCCTCAGACTTCTCTACTAACAGCAGCACATGGATTTAGCATATTCACAGATAGTGTAGCCATTTAAAAAAGTTACAAAATATGCTTTCAACGGTCATACTGTTTCCAAATAAGACTGAAAGAAGCACTGTTTTCATTGGGACTAGGATGGGCTAGAGTGTATATAAAAGCCACTTTATTTCAAGGCATGTTTGAATTGGCATTGCCCTTGTGCTTTCATACCTACCTGTACGTAATCCACGCTTCTCCCGAGTGCTTTGAATGCTGTGTACATGACTTCTCTTTTTCCACCCCATTTCTGCATGATGCAAACACTTTTGTTGGCGAGGACCAGCTGAGTTACATGTTGCGTGCTCTCTTTATGTGATTCCTCAGTCTCACCTGGACCTCTTTCATGAAAGTTATTCCTCCATATGTAGGTGGCAGAATTATCCCTGCCCATGATTTCACTAAAAATATCCATCATGTAAATATCATCTTCTGAATTCCCGTCAATGACCATGATAACTTTAATTCCAGGGTAGGTCAGCCTTTTTACTGAAAGTAAACATTTTCTTAAATAGTCAGGATCCTCTTGATAGGCAGCAATACAAAGGGCAACTGTTTTGTTCAACTTGATTGGAGTCTCTAGTGATCTTTTCATTTTCCTGTGTTCTAAAAAGGCAAACAGGCTTTGGATGATGAGATGGGATGCTAGAATAGCACCATAAAGTCCAAAAGAGAAATAGTAATTGTCTGTTTGGATAAACTGGTAGCCAACAATGTAAGCAGCTGTGATTCCAAGCAGGAGGGAGACCCCAAAGAGTGTGGTTCCAAGTATTCTCAGGATACATATAAACCTCTCACAATACATCTGCAACAGAATCAGAAAAGTAGTTAACATGATTGTAATTTCCTCCTACAGGATGTAATCTAGATGGTCTTGTGGCTAAGACACTGGACTGAGAGGACTTTACAAGGGTTCTTTCTGGCCTTTTCTGACACAGCTTTACGTCATGATCATGGCCAGGTCACATCTTCTTTATACTGCACTGTTCCCCTCTTGCAGAAAGGGAGCCACATATTCCCCAATTTCCA